GTGTATGGAGATCCTGGCCTGCCCACATGTTAGCCTTAACAAGGACCTCCATGAACAACCTCTTAAACACAGAAAAGGAATCATATTCATTTCCCAAACTGTTATTTCACTTTGATTTTGTTTATAGTCCTAACTTCTCTCCTCACATGGGGAAAAAGTGTCTTATGTGTACAAGTCTTCTGGGGAAAAAAAAATCCCTTTTCAATCAAAGCAGGCTCTTATCTTGGTGAAATCCCTTCCCCATGGACTCAGGGATCCCCAGAGCAGAGGTTCTCAGCCCCAGGAGGGAGGGGTCGCCCGCTCATCTTTCAGCCGGTGCAGGCATCTTGGAGGTTTAGGGTCTGTCAAGCCTGGCATTCCTGCTCTCTTATCGCGCTCTACCCCTTCAAATAGGCAATTGATTAGTTTCAGCTTTTCAAACTGAGACCCGATACTTTCCTCAGGATCAAATGCAAAGAAGCAGGGAGAGAAACATGGGGAGGTGGGGACATAAAGAAGGAAAACAGGACACTGGAGGAGAAACAAAGACCTTGCTGGGCCCCAGAAAGAACAGGGACGTCAGGAAGACGCAGTTAGGATGAGCCTTCGATTTCTGTGAGTATTTAAGAGAGAAAAAAGAGGCTGTTGATTTATGCCTAGATTCCCCCTGCAAGACTTCCTTGTGTTTAAGGGCGTGGCTCCACTCGCACATCTGTTCTCTTCACGTGACATTTCATAAAAGCCTCAACATCTGGGCAAGACAAACTTCCTCTGGTACCTGCTCAGCTCTTCACTGTGGCCCTCCAGCCGGCCCTTTCCCCTCTACCTTAGCATAGCCATTTCCTTGCTAGTCTTTGTTCCAGCCGCCCCACTTACTCCAGCCCCCCTGCCCCGTCGAAATCTCCCCAAAATGCCGCCTCCCAGTGACAGCCTTTGCCAAAGTCCATTTCTCCAGCACACTAAGAAGTTTCCCGCCTGGGGCGCCCCTCCACAGGTAGATGAGAGCAACGCCTTGAACCCAGGGAGAAAAATCTTATTTCAATTCGGGCTACAGACTAAAAACAAAACAACAAAACAAAACCTGCCATATAAGCAACATTCACACACGCATTAGCATTCAGCTTCATCAGCTTCATCAGCCAGATCTTACTCCTCATCTCTCTTCATAGTTCTCGGTACAACCAGAAAGAGGGCGATGTTCGAGTCTTTTCGGGGAGCCGTCCCTCTATCTGGTAGACCTTTAGGCTGCTCGTTTTACAGAAACGTAATTTCTCTCTGTCTGCTCCCAGTCTCCCTTCCCCTATGAAGGCTGCCTTCTGGAAGGAATGCTTTTTCCACTTCTTTTGCCTTTTCTAGTCTGAAGTTCGTCTGACCTCAGCCTAAATCACATGTAGCAAATCGACGATCCAGTCGCCAGTTTGGGTACAAGGGAAAAGAAGGAACAGAAAACAGCCCACGTAAACAAGAAAGAAGCCACCGAAGGCCCTCGCTGCAGCAAACCTCAAATGAGCTCCCTGCAGGGCGCCCACGAAATCCCCACTATAATTGACTGTTTTCCTTGAGGTTTTCTGACCATGTGCTTTTTGCCATGTTGCTATAACTTTGATACAAGAAGATGCTCACATCCCAACCTTTTCAGACATTTAACTCTGGCCTGTATCAAGGGAGAGAAGCAGTTCCTCGTGTCTCAGTGATTGTAACTTGCCCCCAACTTCCAGCGACCTGCCACAGGCTCCTTCTTACTTTATAGACATCTGGGAATTCCATACATGCCTCCAACTCCAATTACACACCTTCTTCAAAGGACGCGTGCTTTGATTGCTAAGAACATTAAGTGGGGTTGTGTCTTGGGCCTTGAAACAAAAGAGAGTGTAAAAACGTGCTGCGGTACACACACGGTACCCGGTTTACTAGGTCTGTCTTTTGCTGCCCACTAAACACAGAAAATTAATCCTTCTGCTTGTATTTTCGATGTTCAGTTTCCAAAGATGAGTCTGAGAAATAGTGCAGTTGTCGCTATTAAGAGTAAGAAAGAAGCCAACTCCTTCCATTGTGCCTGCCGGAGAGCTTTCCTTCCACTTTCACTGGGGCTGGGGGTGGGGCACTTATGACACATTAGCAGAAATTTCTGGAAAAGTGGCCCCTGGGGATTCCCTTCCCGACCCTCAGTTTGTCACTAATGCGGGCCTGTCTTTGGAAATTTGAGGTTGGGCCTTTGCCTGTGTCTATAGCTGCTTCGTGGTGCTACCGCTGACACTTGGCGCAGCGGCCCCCTAGCAGCGGCCAGAGGCCCAAAGCAGCCGGTCTGTGCCATCCAGAGAGCAGCGACATTGACACTCTCTCCACAGGACGGTTTGGACTGCCACCCACGCAGGGGAAGCCTCGGTCGGTGCCCCTCTGGTGCACCCTACGCAGGTGAGACCCTCGTTTCCTACGGAGTTCTGTTTGGGTTTCCGTGGCGTTTGTCCCCCCCCCCCACAGGTTTGTTTGTTTTTCTTCAAATTACAGATGCAGGGAAAACCGCCTGACATCATGAGAGCAGGACAAATGCTCACTTTGAAGGATTCCTGGGCAGGACTTCAAGTGAAATCATATGCCTGAGAAGAACTTGATACTGGTCTAGAGAAAATAACTAGTTCTGACTTTGCCAAACCATGGAATGTGCAAAATGCTCTACTTTTTTGTGAGGGGCCAAGTGTCCCTTTTAAAAAGCTCCCTTATGAGTATGAGCCCAAAGACCCCAGGGGCAGGAAGCGTGTGCTAATCTTGACTGTGGGAAGAAAGGACACAGGTTCTGTGAGTTTCTATCTGAGGTTATGTTATTAATGTGTTGCACTTTGGATCTGCAACGGTGCCCTGGATTATCTGTGCATTGCTTAACATGTACATATATGCACGGAACCCAGACATGTGTGCATGAGCACACTTAACTGTTATGATTGAAGACTTAACAATTAGAGGAAGTTAAGAACAAGATAAAAACAACTATCTTCACAGTAAAAAAAAAATACAATTCCTCAGATGGAAGACCATTTAATACAATTCTTCCTCCTAGCCAGAGCATTGTGGTTGGGGGACAAAGACAGGAGTCCAGGAATATTACATGATAAGATTTTGCATCTCCGCGATGAAACCATGAAATGGGTAATTTATCCAACATGTACGTTAAACAAAGGTAACTAAAATAAGACACTGGAATAAAATGAGAATAATGGGGGCGGGCGGTGAACAAACAGGTCGTTTTTACAATGAAGAATGGAGCATTTTATGTTGCAGTAGTGGAGGTGTTATTGTACACACAACCTTGCAAGCTGGAGATAACATTCTAGACAACAATCTCTACCACAAGGCCGCCTCACTTAAATAAAACTACTTATGAGCTTTCCAAAAACGTTTGTCTATCTTACAAAAGTCCAAGAGAAAATATTATCTTTATTTTTCTATTACTGTTAATATGACAACTGCCTTTCCCCAATTTTTATGAAAAAAATAGAAATAAAGAAGGAAAGGTAACAACTCTTGTCTGAAGCATCAGCTTATACACCCGGGTTAGGGGAGCATTTACCTTCTCAGTCATGATGGATTTCCACCCTGCTGTACATGAAGACATCTGAAAGAAGAGCCAGACCAGGCTAGTGAGCACGGAAGCTCCTTCCAGAGCATCTGGAAAATGGACATGCTGGGGTGATGCACGTTAAGACTGATTTGCCATCTTGGTCTTCTCTCTGGTCCTTTTAGGACACCGTCTTTACATGTCTACCTTACACGATGCAACCCACAAATACCCTAGAGATACCCCACACAGAATCACCTTGTCTGTTCATTGTAAAGGGTAACCAAAAATTTTAAAATAGAATAGAGAAATAAGAACCAGTAACACCCCATGCGTTCACTGATATTTTAATGTGACTCAATGCTACAGGCTCCTTATTATAAAAATATTTCTAAAATATTCGCAATAATTAATGCATACGGCTGTCCTGTCGGTATTTGGCACTGCTGAGTGAAAAGGGAAAGAAAAACCATGGGGGGAAAAAATCCCGACCCCAGTTAAGGAAATGCAGCCTGTTTGGAGACACTAGCCTATGTGAGCTACTGTGTGAATAGGCACCAGAAACATTTCCAACTCGAAAACGCCTCTATTTACACATGACTTGCTGAGCTGATGAAAATTGAAAAACTAAACTTAAAAAAATCACTAGTCATTAAAAAAAACCATGTTTTTGTCCCAGTAATATCCTGAAATAAAAATCCAGCTCCATCCGTCATACTTTGACAGAGCTTCAGGTGTGTGTGTGCATGCGTGTGTGTTTGTGTGTGTGCACGCGCGTGTGCATGGTACTGACTGAAGGGTGAAGAGCTGTAGCATTTAACAATGGTAACTGTTCCAGCAGTTGCTAAGGACACCTAAAATCTAGATGTTTATTTTTACTCCACCGAAGTGTATTCTTTACATATATATCAGGGGCACGTTTCCCAGGGGGTAACATTAATACAGCAACCTCTTTTCCTTTTTAATCAGCATGACACTGGGCATCATTCATTCACTCCAGAGGGGACTAAATCACAGAACGATCTCCCTCTGAATTAAATTTTTTACACACATTTAAACATAACATATATAATATATGTAGTTTTCATTAACACAGTGGCCTTTCACCAAAATAAGCCTTTTTTTTAAAAAAGGAAGGACATAGTAGCAAGGAAATAATATTGTTTTCGCATGGCTTACTAGAATGCTTTAGTCCAGACTGTAAGCAAGGGGTACTTGGTAGCAAATCTGTTCAATTCGACCTAAGAATTGGGGAGGCAATGAGCCCCGCTGAACGCCAAGCTGTAATAATAATAGAGCTGTCCTTTAATAGTGTGGCTGTCTCTGTCAGTAGCAGGTTTATTTGAGGTTTTCACGTCTTTGTTTATACTGGTGCCCCACTCCCTCCTGAACATCCCTAGAGTTAAACAAACAAGTATTTACCACCAACTTCATTCTGAGTTTTAAAAATATAGACCAAACTTTAAAATTCTTAAAATTTTTCAATCATATTTATTTATTGCAGAAAAATAATATACAAAAGATATTTACAAAACAGTCATAAAAATATGAATGCATTTAGACACCGGATCTATTTGCATTTTACCATGGGTCATCAATAAATAAATAGAATGTTGTCTTTTGTATCTTATGTTTTCCTTTTCCCTCAGAGGAAGTAATTTTTTTTAAGGAATTCACTGACTATGGTTTTGTAGGCCAGTTTGATCCCAGCGTTTTTATTTCTAAAGGTCTTGTTAAAATTCCTCTGATTGTTACCATTTTAAAATGGAGAAAGTCCACAGTGATGCCTTTGCTCTCAGTGGCTGAAATAGTACGACCTCTTGAGAATGCATGCATAAAAAAAATAAAACATTCTTCGTCAAAAGGTGGGGTAGAGGGGGACACAAACAATGGTTCAGACTTCTATCAGAATGCAGAGGTGTGAGGGTGGTGCCTCTCTGGGGATCTCGGTCCACCGGGCCTGTCTGGCTTTCTCTTTTAAAAGTGTGCCCCACGCCCTGATTCTTTTGAATTTGGGTTCTGCTCTTCTAAGTTTCCAAGAAAATCTTTGTCATATAGATTTATTTTTAGTTATCCAGCTCCAGAGTTCTCTAGACTGTCCATTTTCTCCTTCTCTGGAAACAATGACATCTGCAAAAACCCAGAAGGGGAAAGTTGGTTATTGTGGATGTCTCTGCGACTGTTTTCTAAGACCGCTAAGCTTGGTTATCACTACCAGCGAGAATTTTCGCTGAACAACCTGGAAGGATTTCAGCCCAAGGGCAAGAGGAAGTGGGTGGGCGGAAAGGAGGGGGTGGAATTTGGAAACATTTGTTTTAAGAAGGGAATTCTGAAGACGAAAGAAAGCGGGGGGAGGGCTAGCTCTGGGCACAAGTCCCTTATTCTTGACTTTCTCAAGTCTGTGTCACGCACACTCCCGCACACGCTCACCTCTCTCAAGGGTACACTCCTCCCCGACCCGGACCTGTTTCCCCAGTGGGGACTGAACTACCTGCCAGAGACACGGGTTGGGGGATGGGGTGGCGGTGCCTGGCTAGGTAGAGGGCAGCAAGGAAAGTGGGGTCACCCAGAGCAGCGGCGAGGTGACCAGGGAGCCCAGGCCTGGCCCGAGCGACCCGGGAGTGGGTCCTTACCTAGGTCTCCGGCCTGCCGAGGGGGTGGGGAGCTCCGCCTGCTAGTGGGACGCAGACATGGACCAGGCCCCCTCCATCCTCCAGACCGAGAAGGCGTAGCTGAGCCGCTCGTGGGCCACATAGCTGCAGCTTGCCATCTTGGAGTCCAGCTCGTCGCTCTGCAGGACCTGGTACAGGAAGTCGATGTACCTGGCCGCCAGTTTGAGGGTCTGAATCTTGCTCAGCTTGTCCGAGGGCAGCGTGGGGATGATCTTGCGCAGCGCGGCGAACGCCTCGTTCAGCGACTGCGTGCGCTGGCGCTCCCGCACGTTGGCCATGACCCGCTGTGTCTGCAGCTCCTCGTACGACTGCGGGCTCCCGCCTCCGCTGCTGCTGCCGCCGCCACCGCCGCCCGCGCTGCCGC